GGACATGGGGGCAGGGGTGGCCAGGGCGGTTGCTAGTCCCTTTCCGTGGCAGCTTGCCCCGGCGCCCACACTACCATCGCTTCCTGGAGCGTTCCAAGGAAAAGGAGGGCCCCTGAGTCACTGGGTGCACAGCAGGGGCTGGGGGAGGCCGGGCCCCGCCCTGGGCCATTCACAAGAAAACGTCCAGCGCGATTCCAGCGGGGAACAGGTGAGTCCTGAGTCCTGCGAGCGCCGCTTCCGTGCGCCCTGACTTGGCACCTTCTCCTCTCGGCCCTTCTCCAGGTGGCACGTGACACCAGCGGGGGCGCTGTCCTGCCTTTGAACAGGTGCTGGGGGGCGACTCCCCTTTGGGTTCTGGCTCATGCCCCTGGAAAAGGCGCGAGTGTGTCCCGGCGCTGGCCAGAGGAAACGTAATCGGAAGTAGGGACGGGAAAGTGTAACCGTGTCAGTGGGCAAGCGAGGAGCCTGGGCTAATGCTCCGTTACACGCCGGCTCCCGCGGAGCAGGGCTGCAGGTGGGAGCTGCTGTGTGCCGGGAGCTGGCTTAAAAGCTGGCTCCCAGGGCGCACTGGCTCCTGGGGAGCCGGCTGCCACCCTGTGTAACCGCAAGGTTTCCAGAGGTGACACGTTTACCCAGTGACCCGCTTTTTGACCTCCCTTGTGGGACGCTGCCTGGTCTCAGGTGGATTACAGCACGAATCGGAAACCGGAATGGCTGAGACTCGAGAACTTGGGCACTGGGGCAGAAAGGGGCTGCAGCGGTTTTAGAGCGGGGGTGGGTAATAAGTGACCTGTGGGCCAGACACTTTATTTACAGCCCTGTTCGCAGCTCCTATTGGCCACAGCTCGCTGTTCCCAACCAATGAGAAGCAAAGTCCCGGTCTGCACTGCTTCCCGCAGCTCCCATTGGCTGGGAACAGTGATCTGTGGGCAAGCCGTGCTGGCCCGCCAGGGGCTAATCCGGGTGACCTGGGTCTGGCCCGCGGCTGCGTCGTGCCCACCCCGTCCCAGCGCATAGGAGAAGGCCCCAGGCCTCGCGCCGGTTGGGTTTGGCGTACGTGGTTACCCCAGTGGCCTGGCGGCTTTGTAACACGCCGCTCTGCTTCCTTCCCCAGGGCAGCGGAGTGGGAAGCAGGCTCTGGCGGCGCCGGCGGATGAGCGGGTAAAGGCCGAGTTCAGTGACCTTTCTGAGGGGTGAGAGAAGAGTGGGTTTGAAACAGCCTGACTGTTCTTTGCGAGCATGAAACGATGCACCTAGGGCAGGGCCCGCTCCCTGCGTGCTGCTCGGGCCACGCGTGTCTCTCTGTGCCTGGGGCGGGCTTTGCGTGCTGCCCCACCCCGGACCGGCCGGCGGATGAGCGGGTAAAGGCCGAGTTCAGTGACCTTTCTGAGGGGTGAGAGAAGAGTGGGTTTGAAACAGCCTGACTGTTCTTTGCGAGCATGAAACGATGCACCTAGGGCAGGGCCCGCTCCCTGCGTGCTGCTCGGGCCACGCGTGTCTCTCTGTGCCTGGGGCGGGCTTTGCGTGCTGCCCCACCCCGGACCGGCATCACTGCCCCAGCAGCCATAGCCCCTCCCAGACCCTGCACCTCTCTCCCCCGAGCTCCATCCCACACCCTGCACGGCTCCGTTAACGGAGAAGAGGGCGGCCCTTCACCACTTCCCCTGTTCTTGGAGTGCCCCCCATCAAAAACTATTCCCCCCCCAGCCCTGGGGTCTCGGTCTCCACCGTGAGCTGGTCAGTAGAGACCCCTCCTGGCCCAGGCTGCTCTCTAGGAAAGGACGTCCAAGTCCCCGCGAGATGCTTTCAGGGTTTCCCAGCAGAGCGGCCCTGTGTCTGGCTGGTGCTGCCCAGCGCCGTGTGGAGTCTGGGGGCCCGGCTGCTGGAGTCCAGCATTCTCCATGGGTGGGTGCCTGGGGCAAATCCATGTGGGTGGGCCGATACTGAACTGCCCGCCTAGAGTCCCTGTGGCACTCGGGGGTGGGAGCCTCATCACGC